ATGTTGGCTAACTGAACATAATAATAAAAATAATAATAATTTTTAAAAGTCACTGGTGGGGATAAAGCTACTTCACATTTTTTGGGCAGGAAAGACATCTTTGAGGGAATATTTGAGTAATCTTGGAAGTCAAGAAAGATTATCAATGGAAGATGCAGGAAAAGGGCATTCTGTAAAGTTGCAACAGTAGTACAAAGACACCGTGGTAACTAGGTAATTATGTTAAACAAAGAAAAGAAGGATCATCTGGTTAGAAGAGGGTGAATATGAAGTTGGACAGGTAGGCAAGGAGTAGATTACCTAAAACCTTGAAGATCATAGAAATAGGTTTTATTCTAAGTGACTGAATGAGAAATCATTGGATGGTTTCAGATAGTAGAATGACATAATCATATTTAGGTATATTAACCAGTGAATTTGTACTAATGCTCTTCATTCTTCTAAAAACCCTTAGATTATATAACTGCTATCACATTTTACAGTCTGTTTTTAGAAATAGTTGACCTAAAAATGAGATAATTCATAAAAAAAATGCAAAATTCAAAATGCTGTCATGAAAGAGAAAGAGTGCACTTTACTGGTTGGCACAGGAAGTAATAGCATTAGTAGAAACTTCTGGAAGAAGTGGTTTTGTTTTATTATCTATAGAAGACCTAAGAGTCAGAGATCAGAGATTTTCAAAAATGTAAGAGGTCATTCATCAGAGGAATTAAAGTTGGAAGACTGGTTGCTAGATTGTGGCACATAGGATTCAAATGGTGATGGATGGTTGCAGAAGGGGAGGTTTTTAAAGTTGCTCTTGATGGAAAGATTTAGTCATTTTATATATATTCAAAATACTTTTGTATAAATCCATAATGCTAATATTCACAATACACACAATCACAAAGATCCCGTGAAAAATGAGAATTTAAAGATTCTGAGCACCCTGTGATATCTGAGAGTCTTGAAATCTGTTTTTTTGTTGTTATTCTTCTTGTTTGTTTGTTTAAAAATTTCAACCTTCATGTGTGATGGGACCCAACAGGACTAGTGTATTGTAACCATTATTTCTAATTGGGATAAGACAGCATGGCCCTCAGAAATATGTGCCTAACAATCCTTGGGACTGGGGAAAGGTATGTGTTAGCTAGAGAAAGTTTTAGAGGTAGTTCTGATAGACCTTTGTGTGGAGTCATATCTCATGGCTTCCAGTTAAGAATTGTTTCACTGGGCTCGGAGCCTTATGAAGGCATATGTCCCCAGTTTTAATGCAGTGCCTGGCATGTAGGAGACATGTAAGTCTCCTTAAATGTTAGGATTTTTGAATGAAATAATTAAAATATTAAATTTTCATTATAATTTTCTCAGATGTCAGTCATTTTATATAGGAGAAGATCATTAAAAATTATCACCCCCAAACCTCTTCTTACTCCAAAGCTGACCTGTATTCCTGTAAATGGGTCCATTACCTGGTGTATGTACTCTCTGTACCGAGTTGGAATTCTATAAATATTCTACAGGAATCGGCATAGCACCAGACCATTGTTCTTATCCAGAGGTTTACAACCTATTTCTGAAATCCTGTCTATAGTTAGAAAAAAAAAAGTGTACTTACTATTTTCTTATAATGGCATGTTATCTTTGAAAAGTAGTCTCTTTTATTAGTAGCCAAGATTAATTCAATTTATTCCTCCCAGCTGTATTTCATTTTTCATTTTTCTTATGAAAACAAAATTACAAACATAGGGTAGAATACAGTTACTTGTATCCCTTATCAGGGAACCCTTAAACAAACAAAAACCAATTTAAATCAACCAAAAAATTAAAACACTGTTGCAGTGTTCCCATTCCTATTCTTGGCTTTCCTAAATACTCCTTAAAAAATGAGAAATCTCAGCAAGTCTGATTTCAGACATATTTTGGGTTCAAATTTTATGTAACCTGTAATTTTTAAGTAAACATTTTTATTTTTACCTACTAAAGCAAGGTATAAATAGCTCTCTCATTCTATATATCCCCCATGTTTTTCCCTATATAATGAATTTATCTAACCTGAGGTACAATTTGCTAGAAGGTATAACTCAATGTTTGCTGAATGTGAAATTATATTTCTATCCAAGTGGTATAGGTAATGTGGCATATATGTCTTAAGTTAGCACTTAAAAATTCAACAGGGGCACCTGTGTGGCTCACTCAGTTCGGCGTCTGCCTTCTGCTCACGTCATGATCTCAGGATCCTGGGATCCAGCCCTGCATTGAGCTCCCTGCTCAGCAGGAGCTGAACTCTCTTTCTGCCCCCCCCCCCCCCGCCCGCTTTTGTGTATGTGTATGCATGCTTTCTCTCTCTCTCTCAAATAAATAAATAAATCTTTAAAAAAATTTCAACAAAATATTTTACTGTAGGAAAGGGGTACACACAGAGTAGAAAAAATTCCAGGGTGAAAGTCAGAGTTCAAGCTTTGAATTCTGATTTTTCTCTTCAGTAGTAAAACGACTTTGAGCAAATCATTTCACTTAACTAAGGGTCAGTTTTCTCATCTGTAAAATGACAATTTCTGATTCAAGAGAATTATTTTGAGGATGCTATGAGCTAATGCATGTGAGTCTTTTTTGTTTGCTTAAAATGTGAAGCAACATACAGTTTTTGATTTTTTTTCCTCAATGACAAATCAGCAATCCTGTATATCTTTTTTTAGAACTTAGAATAATGTTTTCATGTGTGTTTGATCCAGAGAGGACTTTGTAGACATTCAAGTTTATCTTCCCCTCTTTTAGCTTTTGAAAAAAATTCAGAAAAAAATTTAGCTCTAAAAAAATTTAGAGCTCTGAAGCGACTTTACCAAGTTAAACAAGAACCATGACAAAACTCTAACCAGAATTCGGATATTGAGATGAATTAGAAATGTCTGCAAAATACATTATTTTTATTCAATCCTTGTGTCTCAGAGCTAAGCATGTACAACAGAAATAGACTAACTGTAGGAAAGGTGATCTTTATCAGACGGTAAATATATCATCAGCAACTTTTCTTAACCCATCATCAAAATCCTTATTTTTCTCATTTTTAAATGGCTGAGTTAAGCAGAGCACGTTTGCATGCACTGTTACTTTTTTATGCATTTCAGCCCAGTCCTTGCCCTGAGTTGTAAATATAGCTCATAAGAAAACCTTAATAAATAAATGTGGCAAATTTGCAAGCTTGCAGTCATTTAGATTTGGTTGACCCTTATATCAGTAAGAAACAATATATTCATCATATATTCAACCAAGATTTCTTGAGCTCCTACGAGTTATAATAAAAATATCTAATATGCATTGTGCTTTCTGTGTGCCAGTTTTATGCACTTTATATGTAGCATCTCCTTCAAAGTTCACTTTCACTCCATAAAATAGGTGTTATTATCACCACCATTTTGCTAACGAAGAAATTGGGACCCAGAGACTTTAAGGATGTTGTCCGTTTTTACAAGCATTGGAGGAGGTAGAGCCCAAGATTAAAACTCTGGCCATTTGGCTCCAGAGTCTGCTCTTAACCACCTGGTTATGCTACTGGATGTTGAAAGCTCTGTGTTAGGGGCTGAGGATATAGCTGTGAGTGAAGCAGGCAGGATCTCTGCCTTCATCAAAATAGACAGTGGTACAAAATGTAAGCAAGTGTGCAATGATTGTATAGCAATAAGTTTCAAGGAGAGAGTAATTACAGTTGTCTAGTGTCATAATGGATGGCTTCAAACAAGAGTTTGAGAAAGCTTTCCTAACAACTTATGACATTTTAAATCAGCAGAAGTTTAACTGAAAATGTGCTGACAGAAAAGTAACCACCATAATTGGAAGAGAGAGGAGCATGGGTAACTGAGTTTCGTTGACATGATAGGTTCATAGACATTGCTTTTTGTTAGGCAAAGTTCTATCAGATGGAACAATTATTAGGTCTATGTCTTACATTGCAGTAAACTGAAGCTATTATTCTTTTAGCTAAAGCCAGAAGTAGAAGAAATCTGATTATAGTAGTTTTCACTGCAAGCCTAAAAAGTCTGTTTTTGTCCTGAAAGCAATAGGAAATCACAGCTAGTTATGAGTAGATAGAACCAATTAAAGCAATATTTTAAAAATACAGCTTTCTCTGTGTGATATATATGAAGAAGAGAGGCAATGTGATCAGTCAAAAGCTATTGCAAAATTATGTGTGTGAAATAACAAAGACCGTCAGTAAAAATCAAGAGGAAAGATCAGATAAGAAAAGATAGTAGCTTCACTATTTTGCTTGTGTAATTGTAATATCTTAGAATCTAATAAAAGCATATTCTTACATGCAAGTATTTCAACAGATTCATGTTAAAATTTTAGAATCTTTTTCTGAACTAGTGTATTAGTCTACTTGTTAAAAAAGTAGAAGTGAGAAATGAATGTGTGTGAAAGAGCTGAGGATGTGCATTTCCAGAAGTCACTCCCAGGCATGTTGGTGTTTTAAGAGTTAATATTACTAATTTTTAAAAATCGGCCCCTTCTTAATTCTTTCAACAATGTATTTGTGTCAAGTTTCCAACAAATAAGAGAAAAAAAATTTTGCCTTCAATATATTTCAGTTCTAGAGTCAAGATGCCCCAAAAGTAAATCATATATTGAAGTGCAGTATAACTTACAAAATAGTAGAATATAACTCACCTAGAAACTGAAATATACACTATTCCTAACTTACTAAGAACTACCACCAAAAAATGTCAGAATGCTGATAATGCCTTTGATAGTTTTGATGCAGTAAGAGTTGTTATACATACATGAAATATACCAGTTACCCAACTGGTAATCAAGCTGATAGAGATCCCATATGAAATTAACGATCTGATTAGTAACACCTTTAGTCTAACAATTGCACTTTGTGGCTGAATATTATGTATGTGTGCACGTGTGTTTGTTTTAGTTAAAATATATCAAAAGAGAAAAATGAAGATGAAAATGTAGTGTTACCTTAATATAGCTAATATGTTATTTAATAAAACCAGTTCATTTCTACGCAGGTATGACATTAAGGATGATTACACATTGAGAATTAAAAAGGCCGTGAGTACAGATGAAGGCACCTACATGTGTATTGCCGAGAATCGGGTTGGAAAAGTAGAAGCCTCTGCTTCTCTCACAGTCCGAGGTAAGAAACTTAAGATGTGAAATACAATTGAATCAACAGACTAATATTTGGTTAAATTGGTAAGTGAACTCACAGTCAAAATAATAGCTTACACTCTTTTATTATTATTATTAAAATGCCTAGATTTTATGTCCATTCTGTCATGAATTGAAATAAAATTACTTTCAAATTTGGGTTCAGATGGGATGATTATTTGAAGGAATTATTTTTTTATTTAATAAATAATAGCTAAGATGGTTTAAAAGTAAATCTTAAGAATAGAAAAGATTTATACTAATCTTTTATGTACCCACTGTTATGAAGCATTTACTGCTTTTTAAATGTCACAATTTTAAAGGTACTCTGTTTGCTGTTTAATAGTTTGCCAGTTTATACTAGGAGGGTACTAGTTTGAAATTCTTTTTTTATTTCAGCATGCAAAAGACAATAAAAATAAATAAATAAATAAAACCAACACTGCTCCCAAAGTAAAAAATGGATACAAATGAGTTCCCGCAATGAGAAAATCTGATTTAGAGAGTGATTTGTGAAGTTCACTGGCCTTAAATAATTGAAATAGTCAGTGTCGCTCCTGTAATAACTTTCACTTTCTGAGTGTCATGCACTTTTTCATTCATGGAATAATCTTCATTCATAGACTCCCTAGAATTGCCAATAAGTGAAAGAAAGCATTACTTAACCCTACAGTGAGTTAGAATGATTAACTGTCTTCCTGGTGTTGCATGTTGATCCACATGAGTAAATTATATAGCCCCAGGTACCAAGTAGTACCGTGTGGACATCTACACTTATTCTTGCCAAATAGACATCACCCATGGCATCATTTCCACTCACAGGACTTCAGACAGAGATAGGCGAGCACATCCTCTGCTCAGTCTTTCCACCTTTCTCCCACCACCTTAATTGATGCCTCCTCATGTCATCCTTTGTGATGTCAGCTGCATGCTTTCAGCCCAGTCTCAGTTATATCTCACCCTGTGTAATCACACCTCCGACCCTTGTGCAGCTTTACTCCCAGAAGTTTTCACAAGATTGGTGAAAAGGTTTGGAGGAATTTGCATTGGTGAGAAATGTGTCAGGGATTCTCATGTTGGTCCTCCATCGGGGCCATCATTTTTTCTGATCTATGACTTCAGCACCAAATCGTAAAACAAACAAACAAAAAAATCCAAAAAACAAAAACCTGTCTTTCTCCGGGTAACACTTAGGAGACAACTTGGAAAATATTGATGATTTCCACACTTCTCAATCGCTCCACTTTTATTCCACCAAATCCATTTTTTTCCCCCATCCGGACATTCTAGCGTGAACTTAGATACAAAACAAATTTAGACAAAATCGGCATGCTGGTTGCTTAAAAACGTTTTCATTCCTCATGAGTTAACAGATCATGAAAAGCTGTGATCATATACCAATCAAATATATAGACTGTATATTATCAAAATCCAATAGCCTTTGTAAGCCCCATTACTACATTTAATCTACATTCTCTGTATGTGATTATATATTTATATATATATTGTTTGCTAGGCAACCCTTTGGGAAAACAATTCACCTGACCAAATTTTCCCCAAAGCTTGTTTATTTGTTGTTTCTGAAGTGAGTGGGGAAAAAAAAATAAACAACCCACCAAGAAATGTTCCATTTAAAAAATATTTGCTGACTAAACAAAGTGAGAAAATGTGAGGAGTTGTTTGTTTACAGAAGCAGCAGGGTTCTTTTTATACTTGAATGCTTGGATGAATGAGACGTGAAGTGGTCTGTTTGCTTTGAGAGATTTCCCAGCTAATTGTTTTCATAATTTGTTGAAAGTTGCAGGTTTAACATTTCATTTAACAAAGCATGCTCCTCTCGCATGGATGTTTCTAGCTAACTTAAAAAACTAATAGAGTTTTTTTGTTTTTAATAGGATTTTTTTTAAATCAGCAAACCTTAAATGGTCTCTCCCCTAATCTGTGTCCTGTAGATGGATTAGAGAGTTTAATCTGTGTGGTATGTATTTATTACTCATCTAAGACTGAAACCTCAAAAACAGGGTTAAAGAAAAAGAAAATCTCCATGATACAATAGAATATGGAGTAAAATATTATTTAAAAATATTTTTTATCATTAGGAAAAGCAGTTGGAACTTCCCATGCTAAGAGGTGAACAGGAGAAAAAGCATATTATCTGCGACTGTTTTCTGTGCTCATTTTTCTAAGCACATACATGAAATGTTTAGCCCTTCCCTGGATTGTTTTATTAGAACAGGGTCAACTGACCCAAGAGGCCGTGTCCATTTTCATTCCATTTAATGCAGGGACACAGTTTAGTTTAATTTGCTGATTTTGAAAACATCCACCTGCTAGGTTTTTTCCGGATGAAATGTTGCTATGTAACAAAAACAAGAAGTTGAATTGGGATGTTTCGGCTAAAATTTTATCATGATATTCAATTGGGGAAAAGAAAAAGGACTTTTATAGTCAAAATCTGAAACAGAGATTTGCTGTTTGCCACTTTAAAATAAGGTGAAAATAGACTATAAAATTAAACTTAATAGCAAGTAGCTCCCTTTGAGGACTTGACAAACATAAAATTAGAAAGAAACAATACTAGACAACAACCAACCTCCTAGCATTCATATTCTAGTCAAATAACTCATGATCTAATAGAGTGTTTTTAAATGGGTCCAAAATGAATTAACACAAACTGCATATTTGTAAACACATTTTTTCCTATTTTCAGGTCTTCAAATTGGCTTTGCATAAATCAAGACTTCATTGGAAAGACTATCTTGCTTTTAGGGCAATAAAACCTTTTTTTAAATAAAATTACTCTAGACTAAGTGAGATAGAAATATGTTTTATTTTTTTAAGCCTGATTTTTCGCCATGGTTTCTTCTTTTTCTCTCTTTAATATCAATAGATTCAAAATGTCTTTTGGTTTCTACATGAAATACTATGTTGGGGATTCAGCCTGAGGTTGCACCTGAAAAATGCAAATTCAAAACGAAAAGACAAAGTTCTTTTCCTACTGGACATTGACAAAATTAAGAGATATATCTTTCGAATGAGGCACAACTTTACGATGTTAGTCTGTTGTCTTGTTCTCGGTTGCTATTTTTGTGTGCACCTCACCCCAAGAAAGGAAACAAATTGTGCATTGGGCAACTTTCTGATTTTTTTCCTCTTGCTATGTAGGACACACTAGAAGGTCACTAAACTAGAATTTTCATGCTGCTGCTATAATTGCTTTATTCTTCTTTGAATTCTCTTAATCTCCCCCTTTTAACTGTAAATAATATTGTTAAGACCACGCATCTCCTACAGAGGCAACTCCATATTGTTTCAGAGAATGCACAAAACTAGTATCATGATGTATTGATTGAGTGAATGAATGCCTATAAATATGGTTTCAATGGCTATATTTATCTCATCATGTCCAATGAGACATCATAAGACAAAACTACCCTAAATTCTAGAGTCATGTTGTATATGCACTAGAGCTTTATCCACGGGGATGTGGGTGAGACACTTGTTTGTTGTGTAAGTTTATATTTTGATTGTAAGAGTTCATAATAGTTCATATGCTACTAAATATATTTCCTCTTCATGTGAATAATGGCACCATATGTTTTATATTTGTCCATTGCCTTTATATAAAGTGGTTTACTATCTAAATTGATTTGACATTATTCTCTTTAAAGAAAGTATTATTAAGCCCATGTGTGTCTCTCACAATTGCTGTGCATTAATAGCAGGGCCAGCCTGATTTTAGTGATTAAGTTATGGTATAATAAAAATATAATAATAATTTGTTGAAGCAGCAGTTCGAAAGCCATTCTCAGTGTGAACAAGAATCAACTTGTCAGTCATTGTTTCCTGCTCTCAGCCAAAAAAAAAAAAGGAAGGAAGGAAAGGGAAAGGAAAGAAGGAAGGAAGGGAGGAAGAAAAAGAAAAAGAAAAAAGCTTAACAGTAGTTAGGGAGCTACCCCGTTGAAATCTCTCAGGATGTTCCAACGTATTTGTTATATTTTCATCCACCCTGTCCACGGATGAAAAGTGATGTGATCTTAACTTCCTACTGGCTGAAAAGCAGCATCAGGGGCTTTTAAGCAGTCCTTGTGATGGTTCTGACTGACCATGCTTAAAATCCAACTGCTATTTAAATCAGACAGTGAGGACTTCTTTTATTGACATGACATTTGCTAGTCTATGACTTGAATAGTTATATTCATCAGGTTCTTAACTTTGGGGTAATACAGGCTGTTTAAAAAAATCTTTGAAAAAATAACTATAGTAAGTGATGACAATATGACTTTACATAAAATATCTCTCAATTCACATAGAGCTAATTCTGCAATGAAAATAATTATTTTCTTAGAATTATATTTATAACTTTCAGTTTTAGTCAAACTCAGACATCCTGTTCATACTTGAATTATAAGACTAGAGATCACTCTACTGTCCATACTTAAGTGTAACATTACACATCATGCATTCTGATAATTTTCTTTTCTTTTTTTTTTTAATTTCTTTATGTTCTCACCACACCATTGTAATGTCTACAGCTCGCCCTGTTGGTAAGTAGCCATCCTTCTATCCATTTAGCATGGCTTTGTACAATGCTTCATAACTCATGCATAGTAGGATTTGATAGAATGAAATATATTTATTCACCCATGTTAAAATATTACTTGTGGGACTATCTTCCATAAAAGTTGCTCCCGATCTATTCATCACTTTGATAAACCATTTTGTAGTGACCTATGGTATTAACAATAGGTAATGATTTTCATGGAAAATAATTTATGAATGTTTAATACTATATAAACTGCTAATTTTTCTTAAAGAGAAAAATATAATAATTCCTTTTTTCCTATATATAAAATAATCATTTACTAGTTATGGTTGATATTCATTAAGATAAATGGTTAGGAACTAAATTAAGAAGTTTGATGACTTGATGCACTTCTTTGATTTTAAACTGCTTCGAGTCCTTGCTTTGTAATGGCATTTTTA